CACAGGACTAGAAAAACTTGAGTTTTTTTCCCCTTGGCTTTGGCTCCATGCTCTTATGTGAGATATCTTTCTTTTATTATCAAATCACACTCCTCTAGCCCAAGGGTTTGTTTGTTGGTTTGGTTGGTTTTTGTTTGGGGATGTGTGTGTGTGTGTGTGTGTGTGTGTGTGTGTGTGTGTGTGTGTGTGTCTGTAAAGCATTTTCTGTAAACTACTTCTTTTAAATGGTTCTGTAAGGCTGGAGATACGGTGTTTCCGGAAGTAGCGGAAGTAGAGGGTTTGCCTGGAGACACTCCGGCTTTGAAAAAATATGGTCATTATCTGAACAGAGGAGGAGAAATCTGAGCCTGAATTTGCATCATTAGCCACAACTACACAAACTAAAGAAATGAGGAGGATGTTCTTATAAAGCCACAGGGGCAAATTGCAAGCCAAGGCATTGTTACCAGAAAGTAAAGAAACAATGGGGAAGAGCATACAAAAAGAAGGGAACAGAGTCAAATGATCTGAGTCCATCCAGCTGTTAGCTAGCCCAGTTCCTGGATACATTCAACTTTGTGGAGCCTCAGTTTGCTGACCTATGGTTCACAGCCCCCTTGACTGACCACAGAGCAGGCTTCACAACGCCTGTGTTTTAAGTGGTGGCTTTGCCTCCTCGGTGACGCAGACTAAAGCTCCCTTTCTGCCAGTTGTTTTTGAAGCATCGCTACATTTGTTACACTGCGTAAACTCAGAACTTTCACCTAGAGGAGTCTTGAAAATTCATCCCCTCGTTGGGGAAAAAAAAAGAAGAAGAAGATTAAATACACCCAAAACTCACACCACTGCAGTCTCTGTAATTATTTATCTCTGCTCCCGAGGGTGAGGAATGCACCTGCCACGTTCATTCCTCTCCAGTTTTCCTAGGCTCGCTGATCTAAAGACAACCAATAAGCCAAGGGAGGCCGGAAACCGAAGTCTCCTCCCTCATGGCTGCTATGTCCGTTAAGTGTCTTCACATAGTTCATTAGCATAGTTTCACATTCCAAATACCAAAAGGCGCCAGTCCCCTCAGCGTTTTGCAGAGACAAGATACCATTTGCGGTGACCTTTTTCACCTGGATGAAATTCATTAATCTCCATTAGTCAGGTGATTGAAAACAGAAAAGTCGGGGTCGAGGAGACGGAAAGTGTTAAGTAAAGGTCATTAGCCAAGTTCATTGCTACCGGGGATAAGAAACTGGGAAAAGGGAGGTGACTGCTAGCAGCGGAACGGGACAACGAACGATTCCCGGAAACCTAAGCTCCTTCCCAATTTGCCCCGCAAGCCCTTTATTATCTAGAGAGACCGCAGACCTAGAAAGAGAAAAGAAGACCTTCCAGGGGCAATGGAGAGGAGTGGCGGCGGCGAGCCATAGCTTCAATGCCCCACCCCCAAACAAGTGCGCATCCACAACACCTTTTGCCTTAATTCCGAAGGCTGTAGCCTTGCCAAAACACTGCACGAAGTGAGCGCGTCCACAAACAACCCGAAGACAACACTTTTAAAATCTCAGTAGCCTTTGGGACATGAAAGGGTTGCGGGACAAGAGTGCAACAAGTTCCGGAAGCAGAAATTGCGCTGTGGATTTTCTCTGTCCATGGGTCTGTGGAGAGGGACGTTGTGGGGGACCATGAGCGCCACAAGCGCCCGGGATACCGAGCGCACCGATGACCACTGGGACCCCAGAGGATGGAAGCGCAGTCCGTAGAAGGGGGTCGCCTAGGGATTTGAGTTAGAAATGTGGGGTCCGGGTAGGGGTGTGAGCAGAAATAGTGAAAAGCCACCGACAACCCTGCCAGGACACAGAAGGTTTAAAAGGTCCAGCGTGGCTCTCCCTGGATCCCCGCATGGCCCCAGCCATCTGGTCCCTTCATCTGCAGTCAACTGTACTGCTTAGGGGAAAGCTACGGTCCGGGTGGAGAGGCGGCGGGTACAGGGCGACAGAACTAGGGGACGAGTGGCTGAGAAAGGAGGATGGAGGGGCTCTGCATTGGCAGCGGGGAAGAAAGCTCCGTCGAATTGTAGAACCGCGAGCCCAGGTGCCAGTTTGGACTGCGACACTGGGCAGGTCCCGGGCGCTGAAGACGCCGAGCGAGCGCGGGAACCAGCGATCCCACTGGTGATCCCGGACGGGGACAGGATGCGGACAGGGAGAAGGCTGGGGGCGAGTCGCGGGCGCCTGCGGATTGATGAATGGACTGCACAGTCTTTCTTCCAGCCCGGGCGACTGGAGCAGAGTCTAGAGTCTCAGCGAGTCTTTCTGTCCGGGAAGGACCACGGCTGGCCCCGCGAGCTGCTCGCCCTGGTCTCCCTCCCCAGCCCGAGCACTCAGAGCACGTGCGGCCCTGAGCTGAGCTCGCCTTCGTCCCCAATGTCCACCTCATCCTCCGGCTCCGTAAGCACGAAGGCGCCGGCGGGCAGACTCAGCCGAGCGTCGGCCACCGCGGCCTCTGGGGCCCGGGGGCTGCCCTCCGGGCTCTCAGGCCCGTCTGCGGCTTTGGGTTCGTCTTGAGTTTTCCTCAGCTGCTTTTTATGCTTCATCCGCCGGTTCTGGAACCACGTTTTCACCTGGTTGAGGGGAGACAAACAAAATCACGTCACTCCTCAGACAAATGGTGACGGAGCTAAGAGCTGAGCGAGTGGCGGGGGTTTAAGGGAAAAGGCTCTCTGTCTACCGAGTTGAATTCGGTCCTGACGCTATGGTCGCTTTTGGGAAAGCCACGCATTATCGTTTTAGGCTGAATGAAAACTTAAGGCTTCCAAGAGAGAGTGCACCAGAATAGCGATGAGGATCAATGGTATGGACAGTAATTTGCTGGATGGATAGGGTCTCCTTTACACCCCATTTATGACCCTGTGACGGAAACAACTAAATCCGGGGCCCAACGGGACTCGTGGGCCCGGAAGACAAGAATGGATTGAAGTGACTGGTTTTTCTCGGAGAGAATATTAGTCTCAGCTCCGAATGGCTGGTGATTTCACAGCAAGATCCTGAGAAGGAATAAAGGAAGGGCTTGGGGCGGGTGGTGGTGGTGAAGGAATAGGACCAAAGATGAAAAGTAGAGGGGAAGCTTGTACTCCAGTGTGAGCAAGCCCTGGGATACCTATGAAGACTTGCTGCTGGGAATGGTACTCACTGAAATAAGTACACGGGGGCACTGAAGAGGGGTCAACGGAGCATGGAGGGGTGGTGTAAACCCATAATCCACACACGGAGGCTGAAGCGGGAAGACGAGGTTTGGGGGCCAGCCTGGACTACGCGATAAAACCCTCTCCAAAACAAAAAACCGTTTAAGCTTCTCCAGAAACAAGAGCCACCTAAATCAGCTTGTCACCCGCTTGGTCGGAAGAAAAATAGAAATAACCACTAACTTGGAGGTGACAACCGAATCACTCGAAGTGATCCCCGCCCCCGTAGAGGCGGGTAGATAAATCTAATGTGAAAATTGGGTATAAATTCTGCCGGGTCTTGGGGGTAACCTCGAAGGAGAGGGGAGAGATTCATTTTTACTAGACGTTTCTGGCACTGTTCAGAGCTGAGGGGAGAAAAGCAGGGCGCAGGATCCGGGGTCTCCTGTCCACCTGAGTCTCGGAGAGGCTGAGGGCTGTGGCCAGCTCCACGCGCTCTGGCGTCGACAGGTAGCGCTGGATTTCGAACCTCTTCTCCAGGCCGGAGAGCTGCGAGTCAGAAAACACCGTGCGAGCTTTGCGGCGGCGGCAGTGCTTCCCGGGCAGCTCGGCGTGCTGCGGGTGCGGGAACAGCGCCGGGACCGGCACCCCTACAGAGACAAGAGCAGTCTGACTGACGGAACCGGCATCCCCAGGAAGTGCCCTTCAGCCTCCCAGCTCCACTCCACTCCGTTGCCCAGCCTTCCCGAACACCTGTCCCGTACTTGATCCAAAGCTCCTGGATCCCATCTCCCAATAACCCTAAGACAGGGGAGAGGAGGATCGCAAAAATAGCGCTTGGAGATCCCTCCCAAAAGGCCATCACAAAATACAAATACTAATCAGTAAGTAAAACAGAAAAGAAAAATAGAGCAAAGATCCAGAGGACTTTAAAAAAAAAAATCATCTTCCTGGAGACTTCCTCAGAGCGCACTTCCTGTTGGGTCTGTGCGGCTTGGCGAAGTTTTCTTGCAAAAGTCGGAGGGTACTGGAGCTGTCCACCCACATCCATCCAGACCTTCACAACACCGAGGGCTAGATAGAACTTTGCCTTCTCGACTCTGAAAAGCACCTTTCCCGGGTCGCCCTCACCCTTCCAGCAACCAAACAAAACAGCGCAAAAGGATGCTTATCCAAAGAAACTGTGGTCCTCTCCTCGGACATTTCCTTGTCAGTGGCAGGGGCGCCCTGGAGACCCTGTTCTGTAGTCTGATCCTAAGCTTTTCCCTCCGACTCCAAGCCCCGCGGATCAGGAGAGCTGAAGCGCCCTTTTCTGGTGATCCGGGGAGGATGCTTCCATTTTGCCACTCTCTCAGCTTTACTCAGTGTTTTAGACGCTCCAAACCTACAGGCCTCGGACACCAGTGCCTACCAATCCCCGGGGAAGAAAAACAAAAATCAAGCTGTTTTAGCACCACGGATTTGGGGCAATACCAGCCCTGGGAGAAGTGTTCATCCTCAGCCGCGTGGTGAAGCCAGAAGCAAAGCGGGCCTCAACGGGGAACCTCAGAATCTCCTCTCTAAGCTAGCGCTTGAGAATGGGTTTTAACTATCATACACTTTCAACCTTTTCTTTTTTCTAGATTCCAGCGTCCATATTTCATACGTTGCCTGTTACCTTTCCTCGGCTCCTGCTGGAACCAATTTACTCTGGTGCTCAGCATGGAGATTAGAAGACTTTTTCTATTCTGGCTGGAACGAAAATGCTAGAGAAGAAAGTGTGCGTGTAGTCTGAGAGAAACAAGCAAACAAAACCAAAACCGACCTATTTCCCAGCATCTCCAGGCCCAGTCTTACTTTGTCAGTCCCCACTCCATGCCAAATGGTCAATCTGAAATACTTTAGCAACTGATTCCAGCAACTGGGCCAGAAGAAAGAAGACACCGAGCAGACTGACCATGAATTAAACGTTGAACATTGGAAGTGAAGGTGGTTCGAGAACAGTAGCTCTCTTCTGTTCTGAACCCTTCCTGTCAACCTGAATCTCCTTTCCTCCCTCACTTCCATGTCCTCTGCTGAATCGGCAAATGTTCCTGACCCGACCTAGCTGAAGAGAGCTGGCCAAGTGAAGCCTTTTCAGTTTCTGCACTGGAAAGTTCAGGGCAATTCTGTGGTACAAGAATGACTGAGGACCTCCTTCTGAGATGGAAGAAGCTAAGGGGGAGAAGGGGGCATTGAGATATGAACAAAGTGGCCTGGAAGCGTAGAGTAAGACTGAGCACTGGCCCACCAGGAATATGATCACATCCATCCACTCCAGCTGCCTCTGGCCAGACACAATCCCCATCCCGTTATAAAAACTGTGAAGTAACCACGAATTGTTCCACTCAGTTGGCATGCCACAGGGAAGCTCTCCTCTCTGCCATGTCCCCAACCTTCTACTGTTACCCAAGGACCCAAGGAGGGAGGCCACCCAGCCAAATCTGGTCTCTGGCGGGGGGGGGGGGGGCGCTGTGCTAAAACAAAACAAAACAAATAACAAGACCCAGCCCACCCTCTCTCTCCCCACTCCTAGAGGCTTTTGCTACTTACCCGAGGTGGTCAGGAAATAAGGATGATGGTGGTCCCCCTTATGCAGAGGGTGATGGGCATGAGGGGTGAGGAGGGTGGGTGTGGGCATAAGGGGGTAGCCATAGTCTAGCAAAGGCACCCTAGAGGCCAGAGAGCTTGCAAAATGGTCAGGGGCCACCTCCCTCAGCGGCTTGGGCTTGTGTAGCAGAATGTCCTCTATGAAGAACGACGTGGGCCTCTGAGAAGATGCCGGGTGGAGAGGGGAGGTGAAGTTGAGATTCATCTTGCAGAGCGCCTGTCACAGGGTTTGGGCCAGGACAAAGTGTCGAAGGCAGACAGCTTCGCAGCTGGCCTAGCCGAAAGAAAGCCCGCACCTGCTCCTGATCGCCTAGGCTCAGATTTCGGCTGCTCTAGCGACCCGGGCTATCCCGGCGCTTGTCTTCTTGCCTCTCCAGCGCCAGGGTAGGTTGGTTCTCTGTGTTGGAGAATTGGCAGCTTGGAGAGGGGAGCCGGGAGAACCAATAGCGAGGCTGCGGAGGCAGAGAGGAGGGTGGGGTGGGCTCGGGGCGGGGCGGGGCGGGGATCTGTCCGCGGTGCTGAATGAGCCTGGCCAAGCAGGGAGCGCTGAGCCCAATGGGTTCGGTTCCTAGCAGGCTTCTCCACCCCAATTTCTGCCCCTCCCGGAGCTGCAAGAGGTGTTGTGTTCTGTCTCTTAAAAAGACTGAAAACGAATTTTTTTTTAGCCGTTGTTTAGCAAACCAGAATACCAAAAGAGTCCCGATAGCGTAGGAATAAAGCACTTACTCAAGCCCGTTTTGGTTTTTAAAGAGTTTCAGTCATCAGTAACAAAGAGGAGGAAAGTGAAGAAATAAAGATGCAGACCATCTGCTACATCAAGTGGCTAGAGTTAGATTAAATTGACAGGAAGGATGACTGAATTGTTGAGGGAGTAAAGATGACGGTGGAAGATGCTTTACCTGGAATCTAGGGAGTGGACAGAGGGAGTCTATGTCTATCACCCAAATGACTTGGTCATTTTAAATCTGTCCACAGACACCGTTGCTGTCACCCTCCATCCTGCCGCTCCTCGCTTCAGTCATATGGTGGTTTGTTTTTGTTTTTGTTGGTGGTGGTGGTTCTTTTTTTTTTCTACATCACCAGCTCCAGCCACAGTCGTCACCCATCACTGCATTAGATTTTATCCCATCTCTTTCCCCTGCCTCTTTCCTTACTCTTCTTTCCAGTCTTTCCCCCCACCCTGTTTGTCTTTTTCTAATCTGTCACATTTATTTCCCTGGAGTCAATTTGCTAAAATTAAGGTGATCATCGACAGCACAGCAGGAGTAATTTGGGCTCGCATCTCTGAAAATTGCTCTAATTATTGATGTTAAACTCGGGGAAATTAAAAGAAGCCACTTCTCTTCCATCTCCCAATTTTTAAGCTCTAATTTGTTGATATCTAGTCGTCATCACAATTCCAATCACTACTGCTAATAGCAAAAGTGTCTTAACAGAGACTGAGTCCTTGCAACCCATGCTATGAGATAATTAGAGGAGGTGCTGGGAAGTCAAGTGTTAATCCTTGGGCGCTGCAGCAGGATTTCCATCTGATCTAGCAGGTAGAACAAATTAATTACCAGAATCAATTAGGCCCCAAACTTCAGTGCTCTAGGAAGTGGAAGTGTCCTATTCCACACGGACACACCGGTAAGCAGATAGGAGAGGAAGCAGAGGGAGAGAGTATGGGGGGGAGGGGGGACAGAGAAATGAGATCTTGGTACATCAATCAGGCATGTAAATGAAGTCAGAACTGTCTCTCTTTGTCTGAGAGGTGACTTGTGTTTTGAAGTTTATAATAGTAGGAAGAGAAGGCGGGAGAGGAGGTGACCACCGAAAGGAGACAGTAGACTTCAGAGAAGTTCTCTAACCTTTTGTCCTGGCCGAGTCATCATTTATGGCACTGAGGGAGATAAAGGTGATGGTCCACACAATGGAAGTCCACCCATCTCTACTCTCGGTGTGAATGTATCAAATGGGTATCAGTCATCCAAGCATAGCAAATGGATATCAATCTAGTCTATCTCCAAACACAAGGCTGGCAGGCTATTGTGGGGAGGGAGCCTTACAACCAGACTTCCCTGGATGTCAGTCAGCCTAGGTTCAGATCCTCACCCGACCTCCGGGGGGCGGACTTTCCAGCTTCCTTGGGTCAGGGACTAACTTGTGCCACAGAAACAGAAAAGACTGAATGTCACTTGGGGGACAGGGTTAGTAGGAACGTCCTTGAGTGCCAGTCATTGAGCGGTGACACAGAGAACTCTTCCTTAAACAAACACATCTCCGAGTGATGGAGGAATCCGGGGTCGGGAAAGGGAGGAGAAGGAGTAGTAGATTGCCTTCCCGGTCCTTTGGTGTCAGACAGCCTTTATACCCTGACATCGATGCTGTATTCTCCGCTCAGGCTCAGGCTTCTCTCCCGGGGCAGAAACTGGTGATGGGGGTGGGGGGTGGCGGAGGCTCACGCCCAGGCTAGCCGAAAGCATAGCTGCCCATGGAGAGAGACTGAAAGGCGTTTTCCTCGGTAATCCGGCCGTCCAGTCTCTGCCTCTTTAGGTCGCGATAGGACCTAAGAAGTTAGAGCCGAAGGAGGAAACACGGACGCTGGGAAAGGTGCAAGACCTGGGGCACTGGCGTCTTTCCCTTCCCGATCGGTGCCGCTAGCGAACAATACTAGGAGGCTGGATGAGTTCCAGCCGCCAAGACCAAAGCAGACCCTTGGATACTCTTAGGTATCCTCGGTGCCGCCACCATCCTTATCCACGACAGAGACCCCTTCTCCTCGGGTCCCAGACACATCGCAGCCAGGGACCTTGTGGGGCCTGAGACCAGTGCACCAACCGGAGGGAAGCGCGGGTGCGGACTGTATGCGGATGCTTGGTCCTCAAAGGGTTTCTGATCCCGTCCTGGCCTCAGGTTCCAGGCCGGGCTATGTCCCAGATCCTAGAGGAAATCCTGAGGCAAGGAATGCCATAAAGTTTCTCCCATTGGCCGGGACTCCTTGAGCAGAACCCCTGAGAAAACGCTTGAGTGACCAAAACCAGTTCTGGCCCAGTCATACAAGGGCTCTGGGGTGAATGCCAGGCACACGGTGTCCAGCCCCTCCAGGTCTCAGTCCTAGTTTGTTCTAAGGGAGTGGGTATTGCAATCGGCAGCCCGATTACACACGCATCGCTCTCTACCTTCCAACTCCACCTCTCCCAGGCTTGGGACAACCTAGGTAACCAAGTCAGTGTTAGATTTTAGATAGGGGTAAAGATTACGAGCTGCAGGGAAACAATTTCCTTTTAAAACAACAACAAAACCCAAAAAGACAGATGTGTCATTGTCTAGCTTAACCCCGAAGCCTAGAACAGTGCCCGTCAATAATATAGTGTGACCCACATAGACCATTTTCAATTCCACCCGTCAAATTTTAAAACCAGGCCAGGTGGCGCCTGCCTTTAAGACTTTAATCCGAGCACTAGGGAAGCAAAGGCAGGCAGTGAGTTTGAGACTAGCCTGGTCTACATAGCAGGGTTCCAGGACAGCCAGGGCTACACAGAGAAATCCCGTACCAAAAGAATTTTTTTAAATAAAAATTAAAACAAATATTTGTGTACTATATTTAATCCCAATATACCCCAGATATTATTAGTCAACATATGATCAATATAAATATGATTTGCATCCTTTTTCATACTATGTTTCTTGTTTGTTTTCTAGGCAGGGTTTCATGTAGTCTAGATAGGTTTTGAAGTCAACATGCAGGCAAGAATAACCTTGAACTCTTGATCCTCACCTGCTCTGGGATTACAGGTCCCAGGCAAGGCTTCCCACTAAACTGAAGTGTCTATTTTGCATTTACTGCACATCTCAATCCACACTAGCTCTTTCAAGCGCTCTGTAGCCACGCTAGGTTTGAGGTTACCGTACTGTACAGCAGCCCTGTAGTTCACCACCGCCCTCTCTTTTACTTCCTCCAAATGTAGGCAGACACACAAGAAAAATAAAAAGCAGTTGCTGCAACCAACCTAACAGTTTCTCAAGGTTTGCCCTTTCATTCACCACTATGCTTAATTATTAAGAATTCACAGAACATCTACTCTACAAGGCTCCTTTCTCCAAGCCTTGGTAAGTTTCATAAATGCATCCATGTTACATTTTATTTTATCTTATTCTCACTCACTTGGTCAAAAAAAAAAAAATCTGTCCCTCGGAACCAGAAAGCTGTAGCTGTAAGGCTGACACAAATCCCGATCCTATATGCTGCCCAGAATAAAAGAATACAGCAACAGTAATAATAAAGATCAAATGATCCTCTCTCTCCCCATCTAGGATTCAATGACATTCTTGCTTGGGTTTTAGCTGGAGAATCATTCATTTAAAGAGAGAAAAGACATGCTTTGCAGGGAATAGATAATTAAACAGGCCCTCTCTCTTTCATGTCAGCCTCAGCTAAAACTGCCATCTGAGGTGGGACTTAGTTTCCCAAAAAGATGGCCCTATTGATGATCAAAGGAAGGACTGGTTCCATTAGCCAAGTTGCCTTCAAAATAAAGGAGACATGTATTTTAGCAGGATCTGAGTAACACACTTTACTCATAACAGTTTGTATTATATTGCTGGTTGTCCGCTTCAGCCTACCTTCTATCTGGTACTTTATTTTAAGCACTACCAAAGTGGATGACATGTCTACAAAAAGAACAGGACTCGCTGGATGCTTCTAGCAAATGCATCTTCAAAACAAATGCTTTTGTACAGGAAATTAGGATGTGAACCCTCATGAGAAACACATTCAAAGATGTGAGATTGAAAACCCGGCATTTCTAATGTGTCAAGGACAGAATCCATCCAGTTTGCTCATTTGGATCTTCCATTTCTAAGATCTTCCATTTCTCTCCTGAAGTTCCCAATGCTGTCTTTGGCTATCTCAAATTAAAACATATTTCATGTTCTTTTAGGAAGTGGAACTTGGAAGAAAGAATTCAGTTTCAAATGTGAAAGAGTTGATGCCATTTCTCAAATCTCTGAAAAATACACAATAGAATAAAAATGGCCTTTAATCTACCTCTTACCAGTAGCTCTACATTTCTCCAGCAGATTTTGAAAGAGTGCCCAAATATACTACCATGGGGGGAGGGGCATGGTGGATAAGGTAAAAAAAGCCAGGCGATGGTGGAGCATGCCTTTAATTCCAGTACTTGGGAGGCAGAGGCAGGAAGATCTCTGAGTTCAAGGACAGCCTTGTCTACAGAACGAGTTCCAGGACTGTCAGGACTACACAGGACTACCCTGTCTCGAAAGACAAAAGAAACACAAACTAACAAAAAGCCTTTTCTCTATACCCTTTTATGCAGGCATGATCGTGCTGGTCTTAGGAGGTGGTGACAGGAGATTGGTACTTCTGAGATAGCCAGATGAGCTGGAGACCAGCCTGGGTTTAATGAGACC